CATTTCCAGCGATATCGTTGACTTGATTGCAAATATACTATTTAAACTGAACTGAGCTGGATTATGACATCACTGAATTCAATGATGAACTGCCTTTTTGCATTTTTGACACACTATTTTCCTATTTAATGCTGTACAGTTGCTTTGACACAATCTGTATTGTTAGAAGCGCTATATAAATAAAGGTGACTTGACTTGACTTGACTTGACATGCAATATAATTTTTACTAATTTCCTTTTTTTATGTAATAAAAGACTATGTTTAAATCCTCTCAATTAGCTTACAGGTTATGATGGATAATAAAAATATGACATCTAATGAAATGTCTAACCCATGTACAAATCAAATACTAACTTCATGAATCACAGCAATTAGTAAATTAAACAATAATAACACCAGCAATTAACATGCAACTGGGGACTTTGCCAGTTTTTGAGGGGGACATCTTAATAGATAGATAGATAGATAGATAGCTTTTAAAATGTAAATTATTCCTGTGATCTAAGCATCATTATTCCAGTCTTCAGTGTCACATGATCCTCATGATGCTCAAGAAACATGTCTGGTTATTTCTTAAATTAAAAATCTCCACTTTTTTATGTATTTTCGTTTTTGTTGCTAGAAGTAGTGCCACATGTGGTGATTCTTCCCAATCCCAAAACTCCACCACAGATTTAGAACTTCAGGGTTTCATATGAGGTTCCTCACCTCTAATACCGACAGGAGCATACTCAAAATATTCTTCCTCTTTACCGTTCTGTAAAAAAAAAATAAAAAAAAATAATAATCACACAAGGGGGCCAAATTATATACGTGTGTGTGTGTGTGTGTGTGAATGATGCATATTTATTTACATTAACAAAAACAGTATAACATCTGTAAAAAAAATAAAATAATAATAATTATTACTTATTTATATTTTTATTGAGTTAGAACTCTACTCTTACCAAAATTTTTAATCTAAAGTCTTCTGTACTTTAGATAATGACATCCACAGGTAAAACCACGTGTCACCTCACTACCATTGTAAAAAGTAACAAATTGGATTCTTTCTGTTATTTAATCTAAATATATTTAGTATAAATACAGAAGCATTAACCTTATCATAAACAAAAGCTTATATAATAAAAAATATAATTTTCTTCCTGTTAATGCAGCAATGCATCATGAAGTCAGAGTTATTTGATTTCAAAGGAAGAAAAGTAATAAATAGATTTAGAAGGTGACCTATCTTCTAATTAAAGCATTAGTGTATTTTGTTGTGTATGTTTTTGAATGAGCTTTTTCAAATTTCATTTTTCATAAATACCTTGAGATGCTTTTAATTGGGTTTATGTAATCCTTAAATAGTGTGTGGTAATATGCTGAAGTCACACATTCAGCACGTGAACCACAACAAAGTCATGAGTAAACCTAAATGAAAGGATCAAGTACCCCCTACAGCTCTTTTTTAGTTACTAGAACTTGTGTAAGTAAACTATACTAACTAAGCATTTGTCAGTACAACATACAATTCCTATTTCACTTTAATTAGTTTTTTCAAGGCAATCGGTTTGCATGCTTTTTTAAGTAAGCCCAACTAATTAGATTTTACAGTGCATGTCTACATTAATAATAAAATCAAATTGGATATGAATATCGCATCTTTCTACCAAGGTAACAGTTAGTGTTACAACAGCATTCATTGGTGATTTGTTGATTGAAAACATATAAGGGGAAATGTATGTGTAATATAGTCCTATGTGTAAATTAAAGATACAGAACACGGAGCTGCGGTTTCACTGCCAGAGTCTGTATTGTCTGAACAGTGTGCCCCCTCCCCCAATAGGTTAACACATTACTTGTAAAGTTATGATTTAGGCCTAGCACGGCCTAGCACTCTAACCCCGCACTTTCACGGAGTGTGTGGATGCTGCTCTAGCTCCACTGCGACTCCAGGGCATCCGCATACTAAATTATATCGACGATTGCTTGATTTTGGCTCAATCAGAGCAGACGATGGTTCGACATCGAGATGTCGTTCTCGCCCATATGAAAAAGTTGTGGTTGAGACTAAACGACAAGAAAAGTGTGCTTTCTCTATTACAGAGGACCACTTATCTGGGCGTGGTGTGGGATTCGACCACGATGCAGGCACGATTGTCCCCTGCTCGGATCGAGTCGATCCACACTGCAGTCACGAGAGTCAGAGAAGGCCAGTCACTCACTGTCAAGCAGTTTCAGAAAGTATTGGGTTTGATGGCAGCTGTGTCCAACGTGATACCTTTTGGCCTGCTGTACATGAGACCCCTACAGTGGTGGCTCAAGACTAAGGGGTTTTCCCCGAGGGGAAACCCGCTTCGCATGATCAAGGTCACGCGGCGATGCCTACGTGCCTTGGACATGTGGAGGAAACCTTGGTTCTTGTCTCAGGGCCCGGTGCTGGTTGCTCCTTGTCGCTGCATAACGCTAGCGACAGATGCGTCCTTCACCGGCTGGGGTGCGGTCATGAGTGGCCACCCTGCCCGCGGTCTGTGGAGCGATCGCCATCTCACATGGCACATCAACTGCCTGAAGATGCTGGCCATCTTTCGAGCTTTGAAGCACTTCCTCACGGACCTAAGAGATCACCATGTGCTAGTGCGCGTACAAGCTGGCGCACCAGATCCTTGTGTGGTCCCAGGGCAAAATCTTTTCATTAAGAGCAGTTCATATTCCTGGGTATTTGAATATGGGAGCAGACATCCTGTCGAGGCAGGGGCCGAGGCCCGGGGAATGGATGCTTCACCAGATATGGAGAATTTTTGGCCAGGCTCAGATGGACTTGTTTGCGACTCAGGTGACATCGCACTGTCCCCTCTGGTTCTCTCTGACTCATCTGGCTCCACTGGGGCTGGATGCTATGGTACAGAATTGGCCGAGGCTTCGTCTGTACGCTTTTCCCCCGATTGCTCTGCTCCCAGGAGTTCTGGAGAGAGTGCGCCGGGACGGAGTCCATCTGCTCCTAGTAGCCCCGTTCTGGCCGGGCCGAGTATGGTTCTCGGACCTGATTTCCCTTCTCGACGGCTCTCCATGGGAGATTCCTGTCAGAAGGGATCTCCTCTCACAGGCTGAGGGTACGATTCTCCACCCCCGCCTGGAGATGTGGAAGTTATGGGTGTGGCCTCTGTGGGGGCACAACTTGTAGCTTCCGGTCTCTCAACCAAGGTTGTTGAGACCATCATCCAATCCAGAGCACCCTCCATGAGGAAACTGTACGCCTTGAAGTGGAAGCTTTTCACTTCTTGGTGCGGAGATCGCCAGCTCGACCCAGTTAACTGCCCGGTTGGTACAGTGCTGGAGTTCCTGCAGGCCCGTCTCTCTGCAGAGTTGACCCACTCCACCCTGAAGGTCTACGTGGCGGCCTACCACGCCCCTCTCGGTGGTCAGTCAGTGGGCAGACACCTCCTAGTTACACATTTCCTCCGCGGTGCGCTGAGGCTGAGGCCCCCAGTACGATCTTGCGTCCCCACGTGGGACCTGGCTGTGGTGCTAGAAGCTCTTTGTAAGTCTCCATTCGAGCCTATTGAAGACATTTCTGATCGCTATCTGACTATTAAGACTACGTTTCTTCTGGCTATTACTTCTCTAAAAAGAGTTGGGGATCTTCAGGCCCTTTCAGTGGCCCCTTCCTATCTAGACTTTGTGCCCGGCATGGCGAAACTCTGAGTATGTTAACCTTGAAATGAGAGAAACTCTGGGTTTTTTTCTCAGAATGGGAGGTTTGTCAAACCTGAGAAAGCAGGGTAAGTCAAGCCCATTTCTGAAAGAGAGGTAATCAGAGTAATCAGAGTCAGTTACCATGGTAACTTACACTGTGAACCTAACCTGGTCGGGAGCAGGTTTTCTTTGGTAAACCCAGAGTTTCTTACAGTCTCCTCCCCCTTTTTAAAGCGTAAGCGATGTTTAAATACCTCATTCATTCATTCACGCTGCAAAAATGCTTTTCTTACTGGGTATTTTTGTCTTATTTCAAGTACAAATATCTAAAAATTCTTACGTTAAGATGCCATTTCTATAGAATAAAAATGATATTTAGCCTTGTTTCCTGGGGGAAACAAGTGCATTTAAGTGCATTTTAAGTGCTTTTTACGTAAAACTTAAAATTGTCCGCCATAGGGCAAGAAAAATAATCTTAATGCAAACGGAAACAAGCATATTTTAAATTTCTTACCCCACTGGCAGATAATTAGCAAAATAAGAAAAATGCACTTAAATTATTTTTCCCCCATGGAAACAAGACTAAATACCTTATGTCTTTTTTATGTAGAAAATACATATTGATTTAAGAATATTTTGATATTTTGACTGGAAACAAGAAGACAAAAATTATTAGTAAGAAAAGCATATTTTGCAGTGCATGTATTCATTCATTGCGCATATTTTCATAATTTCACCATTTTAAATGGTAGTTTTCTTTAAAACATTGCTGATGCAGAGCACATTAGTAAGGCCGCTGTATGTAGACTGATAAGGAAAGTGTGTGTCACTCTCACGCTCTTTCTGATCATTTTTTCCTTGCCACAAATCCGTCAAAGAGGAGTTTCAGTGGACTGTAGGTCAGTGTTGTAGAAATCAAAGGAAAAATTGAAATCGCATCATATGACCCCTTTAAATGAAGCTAATCTGATAAATTATGTTCACTTCTTGATAACATCTGGCTGGGACCTCTGGAAGTAACCCAATAATTCGAATTTTCTTCAGGATTTCCAGTGTGGTTGGATGCATTGATGACACGCATATCCCCAAAATCAACAGTTATTCTTTTTCCTTTTGGATTTTAAAATTCTTCTACTTGACCATCTCCTCTTCATCTGTCAGTGGTGATGGTCCAGGTTCTCCCCCCATTTTGCGAGCCTCTGCCTTCTTGCTGTCAACTGAGTACAAGTCAGTTGTTAATTTCATTACTCTAATTAAGAAATGTAACAGGTATGATTAGAGAATATTTAATAAGCCTATGTGAAAAGAGCAAAAAACCTGCTGCGTATTGAAATAGACACTGAATGATATTTAATATGTCAAATGTTTGTAAAGTCATGTAGCCTACTCCCATGAAACTTTTATGCTTAAATCTTTACCTTGATTGAAGTGTGATTTTATAAATCATTTTTAGATGCTGCTATGTTCTTTTTTATTTATTTATTTTTTGCCGTGGGATAGGCTACCATGAAAATGTAATTTAGTTAAATAATTTACAGTTTTTACCTCTGATATTATAACAGTGATTTAGAATTAAAGTTATTTATTGACTCAGAAGTATGCAGATATCTTTTTGTCGGTGCTGTTGCCATGGTGAATCATAATTTTGGAGCTCCATTGATCATGACTTTTCATAGTCGTGGTGCACGCGCTAAACTCAGAGTCGACTGAACTAACACAATTCAGCTGTTCTGAAACCGAAAAGAGTTTCCCATCTCAGGGTAAGTCAACTCAGAGTTGGTTGAACCTCCTTATTGAAATGGGCCCCAGATTCAAATCATCAGCTCATTAGTTGAGACGGCAAGGCCTGATTTGGGTGTGTCTAATAAGGGAGACATACAAAATGTGCAGGGCAGGGGGGCCTCCAAGTAGGGATGGCTGGCCCGAAACTGATGTTTCGACACGGTGTCGAGATCCCGAAGCGCAGATGTTTCGAAACACTGCTCCGAAGTGTGATTCGAAACACCAAACACCCATGTCACGTAACTAAGGCAAATCAAAGCATCAGGGCGTTTTCGAGACCTAAAACTGCTTTTGATCGACAGGGTCGGGAACAAACCACACAATCGCACATCTGTCTTAACCTAACTCCCGCAAAGTATAAAAGTGGAGATAATGCAGCAGAACAATTAATATATTTAAATAAAAATCTTTATATGTAAAAAATGCCAGGCGTTGTGGCTTGATGTCTTTTATTAATATAAATATTTCATGACCAAAATAACATATTCACAAAGAGTTCATTCAATTGTCAGAGAGATGTTACAACATTACAAGAACAGAAAAATAAAAACACAACTTTCAAGTATTTATTATAAATATACGCATGTTTCACCCCAGATTCGAACCTAAATTAACAGGTTTTTACAACATTCTTGTCGTGCACACTAATCACTCCCCCAACCCACATGGTGAATAAGGAGCACAACATATACGTTATAATTTGTCAATACGCTTAACTGATTCGCTGTCAATGCAGTTTCAGACCAATACTTGAAAGTGACCACTTGGTGTCACCGTAGAGACGGGTGTCGAAATGTTTCGAAGCCTCGGCACATTTGCTTCCACTGTTTCAGTGTTTCATGAAGCATCGCTCTGCCCACCACCACCTATAGGTCCAGGACAGGTTTGAAAACCACTGCACTACACTAAACACGCTATGTAATAAACCTAGTAGAATACAAATACAATTAATAACGGAGTGGTATCCTTAGACACCACAACCACAAACAGCGTCTGAACAATAAGAGCAGCAGTCTTTAAATCAATAAAAATTTTAGTTATTACATATTCAGCGAATAAAAGCCGAAACATAGCATATAATTTTATACTGGGGGTGGGGAAATTGCATAGCAATGATTTTTGTACTCCGAATTCGTGATTCTGAATACTTGATCCACGGGCGGGCGGGCGGTGTCGATTGCAAGTGACGTCACTGA